TCCAATGTAATGTTCACTCCTTTAGATTAGAAAGTAAATTTGCCTACATGAATTGTAATACTCTCTCTTACCCCTAGTGTAAACATCAGCTATATATCCATGAAACAAGATCAATTATCATTCGTTCTTGTTTGTAAATGCATTCGTATCTCTAACCAATTGAAAACAAACACAACATTGAGTGAGAAACAAGACGTTTAATGATTAGCGGGTATTTTTAGTTTAATAAAATATACAGACATATAAACGTATTTAAAATACAGTTATTCAAAACCGATACATAATTAATAACATCGAATGTATGCCTAAAATCTTCAGTAGTGTATTTAATAAAAATAGTGTTATATTGTCGTCGCAATCAACAATATAGTTATCATAATTATATAAATTACATATATATACTGTTCATCATATTGTTTGAACTGTTCATTAAACTGTTTATTATACTGTCTGTTTTTAACCTGAAGAAGGAAGATGCCTTCCAGAAACATGTGTACTGGTCAAACTTGAATCACAAACAATTGAATATTATAAGCATGAAACTTGCAATTATAATGTACATTCAATATCAATGATATAAAATGTAAATAAATGTGCGTTAATATACACATATATTATATATATAGTTAACAACCACGTTTCCAATGTACATCAACGAGTTAACACGTATAGGTGAATTGTTAATATTTCTATTTGTTAACTACTGGCAGTAAGTTACATAATTTATAGAATTATTAAGTTAATACCATGATAATCCGAACTGTAATACATGACTAATGACAAAATAAGGCAAAAATACGTCATTTCCATATGAAGGGTATCCTCATTGGCAAAGACTAAACGAAAGTAAACAAAGCAACTGAAATATTGCACTAATATACTTAATCTCTCTATGTTAATGAAACATTTCATTACTACCACTGCTATATTTTGTTGTATTTCATCCATTTCGTTCTTCTTCTTCTCCTTCTTCTTCTTATCATTATAATTACAATTAGTTTTATTCTTTTTCTTCATCTGCTTCTACTGCAACTCCTACAAATGCTACTTCCAATATTACCAACGTTTCTGTGATGGTACTATAATAATCATGATAAATGATAATGTCATAAGTCTGGTTTTGAAAGTCATTCCACTCGATTTCTACTTTTCTTTCCATGAGCAAACTGTTAAGGTAGGATACGTTCCATCATAAATTTTACAATAGGGAGACACAACAAATTGCTTTGCTTGGTATTCTTATTGATCTTACGTCTCCAATTTTTGTAATTTTAGCAGTCTCATATTTTCTAATGCAATTTGTCGTTGAAAATGATGTAACAAGTTCGAATAAATCGGGCCTAAACAAATCGGCTTATTTCTAAAACCATATTTGACCACAGTTAACATTATTTCATTTTAAATGTTTCATTTAGTTTAATCGTTCGTTTTGTTATTTGTTCCTTACTTTTTATATATTTTTACACAGCCGGTGAAATGAGAGTTGTTCTCGAAAATTCCTACTGTTTATATCACACATATTCATTACCTCAATAGACATTCCCCCAAAAGTTTTCCTTAAATGTAGTTTTCTTACAGTTGTTCATCATCAATGAATTATAATTCATATTTCGTTCCACAATCCTATCTTTATGGTGAATACATTATTGAATATCAGTATTGTTCCTATAACTTTTCGTGCAAAAAGAATTTTGAATTTGAAGGGACGGAGTTACTAATAAAAAACCTCGTAAAAAGGATTGCACATTGATGAATTCAAACTTTAAACAAAGTATTTTTTAATCTGAATTTCTTGGATTGTGAGTCACAAGTTTAGTTCAAGGGTGGAGTTATTTTACATGATGTGCTTTTACGTTAAAAAGCATTTAGCTCATTACGTATAAATTCTATGACAAGAAATCCCAGGAGGAATCTTAATATGCATTACAAATAACATAAGATGTAAGACAAAACTGTTGCACAGACTTGAATATGAAATTTTTATATTCTTTTTTATTCTGAGGCTCAAATAACAATGTTAATTCTTGCGAAACACATTCAGATCCTTACAAGAAAGTATAATACTATTGTCTGGGGTTCACGATTGTGTAGATATGACCAAAATTACAATAACGTATGTACAAATTTAAACATTTTCATGAATCATTTTATTTTGTGATAAAGCATTTATTATTGCATGCGTAGCCAAAGTCATTGCTCAATCGAAAGACAGTTGAGGAAAGTGAATCAACTTTCATCCCGGACCAAATGTGTACCCATATACCAAATTTTTGGCAAAAGTAATAACAATTTCCAGAAATCGCTCACAAATCATTTTTGCCGGCAACGCTCCGGCACCACCCCTAGAGTTCTATCGTTTGATTGTTAAAACCCCATTTATACATATTTCCCGCATTAATTAAAATGTGCACGCAAATTACATGGTTATTGAGCTTCACAATCATACCAGATTTCTTGTGCGGAATAGCTATCATGGTTTGAAGAAGAAAAAACATCACTTCAGCGCTTCAAGAGGAAAGAATTTAACAGCACCAAAACGTTTATAGGGTTACTTCATAATACATGACCCTTGTTAGTTTGAATGTATATTTGGTAAATTTGAATCCTCATTTAAAAAAAAAGCATAATGTAAACCATTGACTGTCGTAAAATAAATTACAATTCTTAATCTATATATACTTGCATGATGCAAGTAAATGCAATAGTATGCGCTAGTTCAGCCACTTGGGCGTTTATCTTTATGTTTATACAAATTGAATCTTATGATTGTCTATCAAATTGACCGATGCTTTCATGAATTTGAAATCCTGTAATAATTATCGAACAATTCCAATATTGAGTAGGGAATATCAGCGTAATTCAATATATACAACACACTATTCCTGGTTCGTTTATTTGTTAAATACGAGTGTAAAATAATCTGATCTGCATCAATCAGGGTATTTAACATTATCGAACAAAGTGATAACAACGAAAGCAGACATAATATAACTTTTTATATTGGCCTCATTGGAGACAGTATAAGCGGAAACTAACAAGGGAACAAGGGCGCGTTAATTCTAGCGATTTACTCCGGTAAGGGCAAGATAATAGAATGCCTGTTTACTTTGCTATTTAACAAAACATGTGTCCGTAACAATCACCTCCTTAAACATGGTGACGTAAATCCACTTAACGAATGTAAAGAATAATGTATGAGGTCCTTCAACGAGCATAGTGATATTGTCAGACATAAGGCATGGTACATGTCAGCTTGACCAGTAGTGCGTAGTCATCACTGGAACTCAACCAATGTGAGAAATGCTGTATGATTTTTCATCCTGCAATTGATCATCCTAAAGAAGAAAACAAATGATATCATAATAAGATCAACATACAACGTAGGCATCACACTCATAATCCACAATACTACCATTCTGAAAAGAAAGAAGCAATACTGACGGGGAAAAAAAATCAACAGATTAGCGAATAATTTTTTTCAAATTCCTAATTTTATTAGGATAACTGGTAATGAACGTAGATCTATGTTTTATCATATGCTTAAAAGGGAAACACATGTCCTCACACCCATACTATGGTTTGTGTTTTGGCACAGATAGTGACATCATTGGGGGACTCACACCGCTCTTACTAGATAGATGAAATGCAAATTAACAAAGGCATCGAATAGGGGTAGATAGTGGAAGTTCTTCTTCTCGTTCTTCTTCATCTTATCCATCTCCTCCTTTGTTATATTCTTGTTTTCTTTCTCTCCCTCGCTTTCGCTCTCTCTCTCTATCTCTCTCTCTCTCATTTGTGTGTACCCCCTCTCTCTCTATCATTTTTCGTTTTCACCATACAATATGTGACGGCACGCATTTGCCCAAAGGCCTCAAATAGGAACGCCACTGCTTTACCTAACGAATACTAACAATTAAAAAAAGTTTAGGACTTCACAAATATCCCTTCGCATTGCGATTGATTAAATCTTATTATTAGATGTAACCATTAATCCTGATAGCAAATAGGGGGTGGGGCAAGAAATCAAAATGTCATGGAAAAGGGGGCTTCTACAATGGTTAACATTTTAGCGAAAAGAATCCAATTTTTTAAACATTGATAAAAATACATGTACCTGTACATTCTATTAGGTATGATTTTCTCTTTACGTGGTCCGAGATCCTGCTTCATACTTTGCAGTTTTGCGTGTGGTGTTCTGAACATTTATTTGCGATTGAGCGAATTGAAGATTTCGTATTAAAGTCGTATTGCGACCGATTATATCTTATTATTAGATGAAATCATTACTCCTGGTGGAGTCTTAAGCACAATATCATAATAAAAGAGTGGATAAAATCATTTATATATTACACTTATCAAAGTTTGGGGAAAATTCCAATTAAAAATTGCTCTTAGTCGTTTTGAATAGAGGCACATGTAAGGGAGGCTATGATAAATCTATTGTTTTTGGAAGATGTGGAGTGATAAGAAAAGCTTGACATAGAACGTATGGTAGTTAATCCTTTTTTTTATGAATGACATTTGATTATGGAAACGCAGTGGTCTTGAGTTTGAAAAAATCCTTGTTAACACATTTATATTCTTGAACAAAGGGCAATTTATCTTCTTGGCAGTCCATGAAGTTAAATAATGGCATGGGATCTAAAGAAAGATAAATGGGAGAAAGATGGAAGGAGCTTTATTAGTAGTTTAGTAGAATATGCCATGGTAGTTTAAAGGAGCAAACATTTACATGTAAAAAGGCGCACTTCCTTTATTCAAATGACTTATATAGTGAAGGACCTTTGATAGCATTCAACATGAGCGCGGTTATATTTCTAAAAGAATGACAGAGTTCGTTCTTAAATTTGGGACATTCTGCCACCTGCCTTTTACACGGCTCCACTGCCTTTAGTGGTTGAAATTAGAGTACCTGTTATGTTCAAAATTTCCAAAAGTTTTCGGGTGTTTGCCATGCAAACACCCCAAAAAACACCCGGTGCAAATGAGGCAATACTTACATCATAAACCAACACAGATAGGTCACCGGGTGACGTTTGAAGATCCTTGAGATGAAATTCCAGTAGGCCGCCCTCTGTAGTTCTACAGCTTTCTAGCCTGTGTCCAGAAAACAGAATAATGGAGGTAATGTGCGTTGGGTGTTAATATATAATCAAATTGGACATAGCTATCTTAAAGAAATTGTCTCTCAGTCATTGGCATTAAGATATGGAAACAGGGAAAAATGTGTCATCGGCGGAATGTAAGGTGTGACAAAAGGTGTTATATTACGAGTCTGATACACGTTAAATTTAGCTATTTGAATAACTTTAGGAAAGCCAAGGCAGTTGACATGTAAACTAAGGGTATCTCTAATGCTATCGCTAGCAGGCCGGCTAGTGACGGCGCTAACTTCATGGACCCTAGCCGCGGCATAAGTTGGACCGGTTCAGCTCTTCAAAGAAGTTTGACAGAAAAGTATAAAAAGCCTAGGGTGGATGTTGAATCTAGATCAGGGCTTGACTAGGCTGTCTTACTAATGTTCAGTGTCAGTTGGTAAAGCCCCCCCCCCCTAAAAAATTAAAAAAAAAAAAAAATATGTGAGCATCATTCCTCACATACATTCTATTCCCAAAACATTTAGTGTATAATTTTCATTCGGTGCGATTTGTATACGCAAATTGCATAGGCAAATTTAGCTGCAATTAAGTTGCTCGTCTCGACCTATTTGACTTTCCAACATGACGTCATCGGGTCTAAGAATGTTGTCTTATATGTCGTCTATTATCTACGCCAAACTACCTTACGTTTAGAATAAGGCCTACAAAAAAATGTTGTAATGCCCTTAGGTGCCAAAATATGGGTCGGTCGATCGGAAATATTATTATTCTTTGTTTTTACTCCCTCATTTTTAATGCTTTGATACATTTTTGTTTTAAAGCTGACCGTAGATTTCACGATTTGGGATCGGTCGCAAAGGGCAATACAACATGTTTATTGTTTAGGCCTAAGACTAAGGCAACTTTCTATAAGATAAAGTCTAGTTCTGGTCATGCGATTGCATTGTGAAAGAAAAGGTGTGGAATCGATCAGAAAAGGTTGATCATCTAGCATATAAGTATTGGTGTGTGCTGCAAGGTTCTGGAATCATCAGAGTGATAATAAATTTTGCCCAGTCTTGGTAAAGTAACAAATACTGTACACAGACAGATTAATATGGGACTACACGAATAGTGTCGGGCCTACTTGCCTTGATTTTCTTATCTGGCTATGCTCATTACTCAGCCATTATACATTTTTACAAAAATTGTTCGGCAAATGACATTTGTAATCTTGGACATTCAGTGTAGGTTTCGTTTGATTCTGTGACAGTTCATTTTCTTTTTTTTTACCAGAACTCAAAAGTTTTTCTTTAACCTAGACTAATTCTTAAACATTTTCTTAGACCTTTACAAATTTCTTAGACCTTTAATGAATACGGGCCGTGGAGGCTTAACCAACGTCTAAACCGGTTCATCCCTTCATGCGTTCGTATCAGTATGCTTTACCACTGTAGACTAACTAAACATAATCATCTAATAGGATTTTAGTATATAAAAAAGGGTTCAGCAAAAACCTACACAACATGACGCATCGACTTCACAAGCCTGCAACACTCGATTAGGTAAACCAAGTCTTCCTCGCATGTGCCCCTTACTCTGTACAGATCTAGCCGATGCAGGTTCTTGAATTTATATTTTATCAGAAGACCCAGTCCTTTCATCGTCTCACTTGATACTCTCTTCTTCTCTAATGGGAGTGATGACGGTGTTGTAAGTTTGATGTGCGTGAGCTGCTGTTCTCCGGTATGACGTCGACAAAGACCAGCCGTGATCCGAGGTATGTCTCTCTCCGCATCATCGGTAGTGATATCTATCACTCTCAAGCCAGGGAGCGATGAGAGCACACCTTCATAACTTTGTGACGTCACTTTCTCGGCCGATAACTTTAGGACGGATGGAAGCTCAGGAGGTAATGGAGGGAAACTGAGAGAGGAGTCCGAGATGTTGAGATGGTTCAGTGAAGTGAAGGATCTGAGACAGGACCACAATTTTACGGTCATCTTGGTAGATAGCTGGCAGTCCTTGATTCTCCAGATTTCAGTCTATGGTGACATACAGACAGAAAAAAAGTCGTCATTGTTACAACATACAAAATCAAAATTGTTAAACATGGAGTAAAAACTACAAGTAAAAATAAATTTCTTAGAAGAACGGTGATGATTGTTTGGAGAGAAAAGGAGAATAAAGAAAAATCCATACAAACTTCCTCTAAAATATTTAAACTCACCTGACATATCGATCGTCACTCGCTTAGGACTAGAATGATTTTCCTACCTTAATCAAGTTCTTAAGTACAATTTCCTATCAAAATCGTTAAACCAATATAATTTCTTTACGAAACAAATGATACGTATGGGCATGAACAAGAAGGGCATACTTACATGCAATGCATCTTCATCGGAGTTTAGTAACCAAGAAAACCTATGTCATTTCAAAAAGAGACGAAGAAGTATGGATAACATGTTTCCACTTTAATCATTTGTGTATAACAAATTACGAACAACATGTAGAAAAATAAAGACAAATCTAGTTTTATTCACCATATTATATATGGCTCATCGTACGTGTGACCTAAACTTACCTTACTTGCTACAGCCAGCATTGTATGATACCAATATTATTCAGTAAATAGTTTGAAATATTTCGATCTGACAAAATATAATTGGGAAGCCACTTATTATATCCACTTACAGAGAGCGGTCCCCAGGATTGTTTTTGTTTAAATAATAATTACACTTGACATATGAGCTACATAACTTATTATTTTTCACAAATCAACCAATTTGTATCTATAGGCCAAGAGCATTAGGTCAAAATAGGCTTAAACCTGGACATTTTCCATAACAAGCTGATTTTTTCAGGATAGGTCCAGGAATATGTCTAGAATAACATACTAAAAGTCCTCATAAATCCTCCTTGAGCGTTTTCCACAATCCAAGATGGCGTCCAAGAAGGCCGCCATTTCGTGAATTTCTTATAACTTTGCAACTAGATAACCCAAATACAATATTTAAATGTCTAAATATATGTTTTTTAGCATCAGGAACTCAATAAAATACTTGTTGATAAATTTTGAAACACACAAGTAGCTATAAACTACTTTAGCTCTTCCCGAAATCCAAAATGGCGCCTAAAATCACAGCCCTTTTCTGAATTTCTTGTAATTGTGCAACTAGGTAATGCAAATACAACATTTAAATGGTCAAATATATGTTTTTCGGCATAAGGAACTCAACCAAATACTTATTAACACATTTTGAAACACACAAGTGGCAGTAACACCACTTGAGCCCTTCCCGAAATCCAAAATGGCGCCCAAAATGGCCATTATTTCCAATTTGATTTCATTGTATTAAAGTAGATACGTTAATATAATCAAATGACTATGCTTGAATAGCACCATTTAAATATATATCAGTACAAAAAACTTGTCAATAAAAAATACTTCTTAAGCATAAAGTTTACACACACCCACCCACACACACACAAGTGCACACATACGGCTGCTTATATCATACTCAACGGTATCACACCGGAAGAGTACAACCGTTACCGTGAAGAGTACTCAACATTAGAAAATGGAGACACATTAGTACCAAGGTCGCTATAAAGCGTTTCATACATACAGTAGTGGACAGCAAAGCCAAAGGTCACACGGTTGCAAACAGGAAATGCAACTCAATAGCACCTGCCACCAGCTCTGTCATAAGACCTAGGCCATGTGTGTCGCCAATATTGGTGGAATAGCTGTGTACAGTGGCGTAATGAGCAAAAACGTTTGGGGGGGCTGACAAAAAATAAATCCGAATCACCCCACTCTAACATGCAGGCCCCGCTGAATTACGTTTCTCAAAGTGGGGTCTAGGGGCAAAGCCCCGGTGGGGTTCAAGGGGCGAAGCCCCCCGAAGCTCAAGGGGTATGGGCATCAGTGGCGGATCCAGGAATTTCTTACCGGGGGGGGGGGGGGGCACAAAATGGCATGGGGTGAAATATATGTAAAACGATGAAGCAACAGAACGAGGCTTTAACGGCGAGGGAGCGGAGCGACCAAGCAGGGGGTTGGTCTGGGAGGGGGTTCTGGCCCCCTCCCAGTGTAAGAAGCATTTGCAATTTTAGAACCAAATTAGACGCATTTTTCAGGCATATATGACGTAAAATTGCTTTCTCCTGCCCCTTCCAAGAGTAGGAATCTTTTGCAATTCGAGAACTACATTTGGCGCAATAATGTCCACCGACACTTCATGGAAAAAAAAGAGGCCCTCTGATTAGTTAGAAGTTAGAGAAAAGTGATCTGTCACGTCGTGAGACGGTTGTATAAATTATGCTTTGATGCCGCACAATGCACAAAGACGGTGGTCCGGTACTTAATCACCAGTAGTACTTGCAAAAATTATCTCGAGTGTATAAACTGTGTCGTTATCAGGGGAGTCGCTAGATCTTTTTCAGTGGGGGATCGGGGGGGGGGGGGGGAGGGTGTAGAAGCCGCCGATTAACGAAAAAACGAGCCACCAATATTATTACCGACAAATATAAAAATGCCAATGTCCAAATGTCTACAAATTTAAGCCTTTAAACCCGGGGCCAGGAACTAAGTTATTTTTCAGTTCCCCCCCCCCCCCCCGCGCAAAGCGCGGAAGCTTTGACACTTCATTAAATTATTAGAGAAAGAAGACGATCCGTTGTACTGTTCTCGACTCTTAAAGCTTGTTTCGCCCCTCCCGCGCAAAGCGCGGAAGCTATGACGTTTAATTTAATTATTAGAGAAAGAAGACGATTCATTGTACCGGTTCCGAGTCTTCATCCTTGACTGAATTCAGTCCCCCCCCCCCCTCCCGCGCTAAGCGCGGAAGCTTTGACGTTTCAATACATTATTACTCTTAATCCTTGTCTGAATTCATTTTCGCTCGTCCCGCGCGAAGCGCTGAAGCTTTCACGTTTTATTAAATTATTAGAGAAAGAAGACGATTCGTTGTATCGTGTTCTTGTCTGAATTCAGTCCCCCCCCCCCCCCGTGCTAAGCGCGGAAGCTTTGACGTTTCAATACATTATTACTCTTAATCCTTGTCTGAATTCATTTTCGCTCATCCCGCGCGAAACGCGGAAGCTTTCAAGTTTCATTAAATTATTAGAGAAAGAAGACGAATCGTTTTATTGTGTCTTTGTCTAAATTCAGTTCCCCCCTCCTACGCGAAAGCTTTGTCGTTTCATTTAATTATTACTCTTAATCCTTGTCTGAAATCATTTTCACGTTTCATTAATTATTGGAGAAAGATTAAGATGATTCGTTGTACCGTTCTCGACTCTTAATCCTAGTCTGAAATTAGTTCCCCCCCCCCTCCCGCGCGAAGCGCGGAAGCTTTGCCGTTTCATTAAATTATTAGAGAAAGAAGACGATTCGTTGTACCGTTCTCTACTCTTAATCTTGTCTGAATTCAATTTCCCCCACTGGGCCCCTTAACGGTATATGTGCATTGTTACATGATGTAAGTATGAAACGCTCGTTCGCAAATCTGTGCATGCTCAGCCCGAGTGGTGGATAGCATGTTATCTCCCGACAGTGCTTTGCACAGTAGCTTCTGGAAAGGAATTAGTGTTACTGTTAGTGGCCACTATAAGGCCCTTATAGTGACTATAAAAAAACATATGCTCTTCCTGGCTATTTGGGAATGGGTCAGTTTGCAAGAAATAATGGAGAAACTATAGCATTTAGTTGAAAATCATGTGATATCACGAACATTTATACATTACTTGTGAAAATAAGTCATGGTTCAATTTTATTTGGGGGGGCTGGCGCCCCCCTAGCCCCCCACCAGTACGCCAGTGGCTGTGTATGTACACCGGAAGTATGGCTCACGTGAACAGATATACATGTTGAGCAGCATGAGCTTTGTCTTTCATGGAGTGGTTTCAAATTCAAGAGTAACCCACTAGCGGACAACGAGGGGCAAATACGTTTTTTTTAAAACTTCATGCCTACTTCCACGGTATGATATCTAAGGTATGATGAAAGAGGCCATGCAGAGTGACCTGTACGAGAGGACGAGATTTAGAACTCTGCCCTTCATCAATATGGACCCTTCCAATCGAGTACCATCTCCACGGCAGCACAGTCACAATGTGAAAAGCATAACTTGAGAATAATGTATGTGCAGTAAAATTTTGCCAGCCGTTGTACATCAAGGCAGCAGAGATTGTAGCTTCTTCTCAAGACCTAGAAAAAGTAATCGTTCGTCTTGGTGGATTTTACCTCCTCATGTCATATCTAGGCAGCATATGCCACATCATGGACGGAAGTGGGCTCGCAGAGCTATGGGTGATAGTGCACGCCAAAGGGTCTATCCTACATATGCAATCAGGTCATGCGTTTTCCTAGTCTGCCCTCATTGGCGTGTTGATGTGTAAATCTGGCGTCTTAGACAGCATACATAAGGACCACTTAGCGAATCGGTATGGTAAACTTGCTTAACTAGGACAATAATGCGAGTGATGTACTGAAATCATCTGGATGAATGACTCGTGGACGTGGAATCACAGACAGCGCATTGGCAAAGTGGGTTCATGCACTTCCTCGCTGTGTTTCTATCTGTGATGAACTGGAACAGTTCACCGGAGTACACACTAGTACATCAGAGCAGCATAAAGACATACGACAAAAGTACCAGGTCAAGATACAATAGTGATAGATGCATCTTTGTTAGATGGCTGCAGGCACATCACCATTTGTTGGATATGAAACTAATTGCCTGGTCTCCTTGTCAACTGACATCGTCGCTGGCTCATCTGTCAATTGTGATTAACCTGTAGAAATCGGCCTAGTAGCGGCATCCGAAACGAATGCATGGTAGGAAGTTCACAAATATCAAGCTTCATCGTAATGACAAGGTGAAGAACATTGGTGCTAAGAGTAAGACGGTGAAAATCAGGGGACAAAGTACAGAGTTCAACCCAACGCTACTGTTCAACAGAATCACATGTGTCCTGAATAACAGCTAGCACTCAGATGGAATCGTTCTTTGCTTATGAACCTATTCCCAGGCACTTTCTCTTCCAAAGGTTGGGTGATGCGGAAGCAAACAAAGAGTTCTCTGGGTCTCCTGCTGAATTCATTCACCAAGCAATCCAACCTGCCGGAAAATGGTCTCTTTGTTTTAGATGGTGGTCACCTACTGCAATCAGTTGTTTGGCCACATCTGTCAACCTATGCTGAATTTGTTCAGTCATATATTTCATACATCATTAAGCATTATGGAGCTCATTTGACGGTGGTGTTCGATAGAAATGGAAGTGCAACTTTGACAAAGGTAGCTAAGCAGAGACGAATAGCCCAGAAATGTACCTCTATATTTGATGATAATATGCCAACAACCTTAACCCAAGCAGCTTTTCTAGCCAACAGCAACAATAAGATGAGACTTATACAAACTCTACGTGACAAAATGCT